TGATCCTGATTGGATATGGAGTGTGCCAGAGGGAACATTGACAGTTGAAGCCAACAAAAAAGATAAGCTGTTATATCTCAAGGCCTATAAAAAAATGTGCTTAGCCTTTGACCTAATTATGCCCCACCTGGTATTTTATACTAAGGAAATAAATTCCCCAAAGGCAAAATGTTTTTCCATGATTTTCCCAACTATGTTCATTGTAGCAAAATAGATAAGAGTAAAAATTTGGGGAGCAACCTAAATGTTTTTCATATGGAATGATTAAGTAATTATTGTGCAAAAAGCTTATAACAACATTATAAGATTAAGCAAACAATTTGAAGATTATTTTCATGAAAAGATCTAAATCAAAAGATACATTTCCTGGATGAGAGGAATTAATGCCTTTATAATACTGATTTTCGAGGGAAAAAATCCTTCTACCATAAAGATACTTGCAGTAGACTGTTTATCCCAGCTCAATTTACAGTCACCAAAATGTGGAAACAGCCTAAATTCCCACCAGCCCAGGAATGAATTAACAAGCTGTGGTATATGTATGCTATGGAATACTATTCGGCCATTAAAAAAGATGGAGATCAAGGGAGGGTGAATGGTGGGATCACACCAATGATGCATAATGCAAGAGTTCATGTTGGATCTATTAGTATAGAGTATAAATGTCTTAACACAATAACTAAGTGAGATGAGGTATATATTAACTAGTGTAATGTAAGCATTCCCAATTCTTTATGAAATCAGCACATTGTATCCCATAAATGCATTAATGTATACATGATCTATGTGTTTATGATTTTAATAAAAAATACAAAAATTATAAAAAAGATTTCCTCTACACTAAAAAAAAAAGATGGAGACTTTACATCCTTTGTATTAACAAGGGTGGAAGTGGACACATTATTCTTAGTAAAACATCACAAGAATGGAGAAGCATGAATCCTATGTACTCAATTTTGATATGAGGGCAATTAATGACCTAGTACACGGTGGGGGGTGGGGGAAGCAAGAGCAGAGAGAGGGAAGGAGGGAGGGGGTGAAAGAAGGAAGAGCAGAGAGAGGGAGGGAGGGGGATGGGGGTCTTAGCGTGTGACACACCTTTTGGGGGCAAGACACAATCAGTATAACCTGGTTTCTTGTACCTTCAATGAATCCCCAACAATAAAAAAAAAAATTTTAAACAGTTGTTTTCCTAAATTAATATATATACATAATTCTAAAGAAATATTTTTAATTAGACACATTGGTGCTAAAATTTTATGGAAAAAATAAATATATTTATTTTAGTAGGATTTTTAAAAAGCAAAAAATGATAAAGTGCTTCCACTAACAGATATTATATTATTTTGTGGTTACAATAATCAAAACTGTGTAATTTTGACATACAAATAAGCATCTCACAGAAATAGACTAGTGTTCATATTGAGATTTTTCAATAAGGGGTAATGGAATAATTGACTATGCCTCTGAAGAAAATTTAACTCTCTACTTTACATAATATCTAAAAGTAAATCATAGAATAATTAAAGAGTCATTTTAAAAGAAATTCATGGTATTTGAGGCAAAGCAGAAAGAAAGAAAAGCCAGAAGTCATAGTAGTATATAATGACAGATGAGACTAGGTGAAAATTAAATACTTTTGTTCAGTGAAACCGTCCATGAACAATATCAAAGAAAATACAATGGACACAGAGAACTATTTACAACACATTTAACAAAGTGTCAACATGTTCAATAATAAAGGAAACCCCTAAAGTTAATTTTAAAAATGATGAACGTTACAAAAGACATAGGACTAAACAGCCACAACAGAAGAGAAAAATTTGAATAATAGTAAACACATGAACTCAACCCTACAAGAAATCAGGGCACTGTGAATTAGAACAAGAATGAGATATCAGATTTTGCTCATCAAATTGGCAAGATAAGACTGATAAAGTCCAATGCTGGCAAGGAGGTGGTGAAACATCCCTGACAGGAGTATATGCTCATAAACATTTGGGGATAAAATTTGGAGAGATATATGAACATTTTAAATGTTCCTACTCTGTGACTCAGTAATCTCACTTCTAAGACTTTTTCCAACAACATTTTTGGAGAACAGTTTGGTAGTTATTTTCTGAAATTTAAATGCCCGTTCCCTTTGACACAACCATGACATATTCTAAGTTTCTAGCCTAAGGTACATGCAAAGGCAGCACTTTTTAAAATAAAAAAAAAATAAAACACGAAGAGTTGAAAGAGTGGTAGAATAAATTACAAACTGTGTAGACATGAAAAAGAATAGAGTACATCTATAGACAATAACCTTGATGATACAAACCATTGCATTCCGCTTAAAAAAAGACATGTCACAGAATTTATTGCCATTTGACTCTTAAATGTAAAGGCATCTGCATGTAGACATGACAATATACATGACACTCTGCATATATAAAAAAAGAGACACGCACTAATATGCTCATGGTGATTACATTTGAGATGGAATTAGATAAAGGAAGGAGGATGTGTGATTTGGGAGGATCATGTTTCGCTTTAGAGATACAGATTATGTTTCGCTTTAGAGATTAGATTATTTTTAACAGCACTAGGATTGTGCAAAGAATTGCAGGTCGCCATTTTCCAACCTGCCTGTGCGTCTTTGTGGAGAGAAGCCAGGGCCCCACACTAAACCTGCTGAATTAGAAGCTCAGGTAGTAACACGCAGACACAGTACAGTTTAAATATTCATAATTCTGGTGTGCCGCGAAGGTTGAGAACCCCTGAGTAAAGGCACGGAGAGGGTAGCAAGTCAGGAAGGCTGGTGTGTGTAGATCATTTTCCCATTCAGTTTGATAGATGAAGAAAGTAGTGAATTAAATTATAAAGGAATTTATGATCCCTTGTAAATTGTCAGGGAAGGTGTGAGGAGGTTGTAGGTTGAGATTAAGAAGCCCAGGGGGCAGAAGAGATTAAATATGCAAGGAAGGTGAGGGAAAGGAGAAGGAAAAAAAGGAACTTAATGAAAGTTTTTAGACTTTCTGTTACGGGACAGGCATTTTCCATATGCTTTCACTGTTACTGTTCCTTGTACTTGAATTTTGAGGCTTATGTTAGTACATCCCACTTCCAGAGAGTTAGTGAAGCAGGGAGAAGCCAACTGAAGAGCCATTGCCTGGGCTGTTTGATTCGGGCCCTGGAGTAAGATGTTGGAGGCAGTGAGCAGATAGGAGGTCCGGGACACAGCTGGAAGTGTCAGTTTGGAAAAAAGGAGGAACATAGACGACACTGAGACAGATGCAGAGATGAACAAGAAGAGAACATGAGTTGGAGTATGTCCGTTTGCAGAGAAGGAGTGAGAAAACACTGTAGGGCAGAGAGGGGAGATGCTGAGGCTCACTCACAGACCTCATCACGTCAGGAAAGCCGGGCCAAGGCAAGTGAGCGCCAGTGGCTTTGGGCGGGCGCCTGGGAGGTGTACATCAGAGCAGAGAGCCAGCTTTGCCCTGGTCCCCCAGGAAGATGTGAATTAGCCACTCAACCACCAATCTGTCTCCTGCTGCTGGAAGCCAGGAGTACAGATAAGCTGAGTACCTACAGCTAAGTGGGAACCTCAAGGAGAAAAGGCAAAGACCCTTCCTTCAAGGAGCAGCCAGTCTGCAGTTTCCTAGAGGGACCTTTTCCACTAGCTGTTCAAATAGTCTGAGTAGGACGACTACCATAGAATGGAGTGATCCTTTGATTCTCGAAGGTCTTATACCCACGAGAAATGGTCTTCCATTAAAAATCTTGTGTTGACCAGTGGTTCTGAAAATAAACAGGCGTTGTATACCTTTCTAGACACCCGTGAGTGAAAGTAAATACACCTGCATTACACAGGAAGTAGGTGCAGGCTGTGCATGAAAGATGGATTGCCCATAAGCTAAAAGAACCAGATGGGGTTTAATTGTACAAGGAAATGTTACCTGGGTAGGAAGCTTTAGTTCATGCTGCCCACACAGGTGCCTCTGGGCTTCCAATCCAAAAGTATCACCAACACGTTCTGGAATTTTCAGTGGCTTCCTGAGGCTTGGCAAGTGTCCACTGAGTGAGATTTACTAGTTATTCCAGCGTGCCAGGCAAATCGAAAGGGAAACTTCCAGTCTTTCAATATTTCTTTTGAAACTCCATAACCTTTGTTTAAAATATTTCCTTGGTGGCACTCTTAAGTCCTATAACAGTCAGATGCATTATTAACTAATGTTATCTAATAGACACTGGCAACTAGCTATTCAGGGATAACTATTTGATTCAGGCAGCTGTTACTATTAGTTTCAGTACCTTTTTAGCAAGAGAAAATGTGGTGGTTTTTTGCAAGAGAGAAAAGGTAGTGGTTGTGTGTGGTTTTGTTATTATTAAAAAAAAAAAAAAGTCGGAAAAACGTACTTTTCGGCAAATGGAGCGCTGCTAACTCCAGCACTATCTGTGGAGTGTGCATTATTCAGTCATCACCAATGTTTATGTATGCTACTCACAGGGCAGAGAAACACAGAATCCTGGAAGTTTGGGCTTGGTTATTTCAAAAAGAAAGCAAAACCTCCTGGGGTCACTTTTTTCTTTTGCCCCTTTCTCTCTGACTCCTCCGCCCTCTCGGGGAAGGTGAGATTCAAATCCTCGCAGCCCCCTCGCTGCACACTGTTACTGCCGCTGTTTCATGTTCCTGGGAAATAAGGAAAGAAATTTGACACCAAGACACTGAACCCCGTGGCTGCCCACAGCAATATCATCTTTGAGGTCATTCGACTTAAGACATTTTCATCATTATTTTGTCTATTTTCTGGTACAGTCTCCGTGGGAGATGTGTGACCCCACTTATGCACAGCGGATCTGGGGGGAACCCGTTCGTTCTCTACGTCTCTGCATTCCGGCTCCCCCGACTACCTCCGTTACCCCGTAAAACTGGCAGGCTCTGGACATTCTGCATGCTGAAGAAAATCACTGTTTTGCCTCCAGCAAGGAACATAAATGTTGCAACACTGACTCCTCCTCTAATGGAGAAAGAGTGAACAAGTGCACCGGGTTGAGCTGCTCTCACAGAGTCGCCGGGCTGGGAACCGGAGCGGAGGCTGAAATCCCCAGACGCCCCTGGTCCCTGGGCTGGACCCCCCCACCCCCACTTCCCTTTCGGTCTCGCTCGCTCCTTCCTTCGCCTCTCTCTGGATTTTACCGGTTCTTGATGAAACAGCTTTATACACGATGGGTCTCCACGTCCCCGTGCAGGAAGTGCTCACGGACTGATATGGCAGACTTTGCTTCCCGGCAAAAGTGAGTACCCCAGCGGGCGAAGCCTGGGCGGGCGGCGGGAGGACCGGCGCGCCCTGGGCTGCGGGTTCGAGGCTGGCGTGCGGGAGCCTGTGGCCCGCGGGAAAGCCCGGATTCTGATCGCGGCCAGTCGCGATGTCCCTTCTCTGAGGAACTCAAAATACTCTAAGGTAGCTGACCAATCCCCCCACTGCACCCCAGGTTTCTCAAACTGCACTGAGCACGCATTAGTCTTTTAAAAGGGCATCTTCGCGTGCATTCCTGACAATCAGTATTGGTGTGATTGCGGGATTCTTAGAATGTAACTGATTTATGTGAAAAGAGAAAAATAGCAGGAAAGGGGAAGGGGACAGGTGGTGCGATGACAGCCCGAAGGACCGGAGCGTCTCCCCCCAGGGACAGCCACCGCCGCAGCCTCGCGGGCATCAGGTGGGGGAAAGTTTTGGGTTACGTATATTGACCCAAAAGGTGCGGCTTCCCCCAAAAGGCAGCCCGGGTAGTGGCAGGTAAGCAGCCTCCCGGCTGTCACCTGGTCTTGGACCCAGAGGCAGGTTGGCCTAAACAGAGGAACCCGAGCCAGAGAGGAAGCTGGAAGGAGAACTCATACCCGGAGAGGAGATCGGAGGAGACAGCCCGGAGGGGAGGGCAGAGGAGCGGGAAGTCGGGCAAACTCAGGTAACCCGAGAGCCCAGTGCGGTGAAGGGGGAAGCAGAGCTGGGGTTCTGGCTCCGGGAGTAGGAAAATATCCTTTTAGTGACCTCTACCTGTATCCTGGGGAAGAGCCCACGTTGCACTAATAGCAAGCAACTTCGAGATTTTTATGACTGGTCCTGAAAATGGTTGCTAAACATTATTAATCTGGAGAGATTACTTAGTCTTCATTCATCAAGTTGGCTGGCAGAGATTTCCCACCGGAGTCTCATGCTTCTTGGCTCAGTCCTGGCCCTGGGCTGTGCAACTTTGGGCAAGACATGCACCCTCTCTGAGCCTGAGTTTTCTCTTTTTTCGTGTGCTTTATGGCCACACTGTATATAAATGTTTAATGGTACAGAAGTGCTGAATAGTGCAAGAATAGAAGCAAATAAGCATCTTAATTTCATTAGCTCTTAAAAATTGGGGTGATAGGTTCTTTAAAGAATTAGCTACAAGTCCTCTCCCCTGCCAGGAAATGCTCTTATGAAATCAAATTTTACATTGAATCCCTGAGGGTTCATGAATACCTCCTGAAACCATGCCTGAACCCCATGTGAAAATCCCTTGTGTTTAAGGACCTCAGGCTGGCAGCTGGATTACTATGGGAGTAATCTACAGCCCTCTGAGGCCTCTAGAGTCAGCTATGCTCTGAAATAGACAGCCTTCCTGTCATGGGTGAGCTCTCAAGACTGTCTTTCAATGGCTTCTCCAGTTTCTGCCTCCTGGGGACCCCTTCTTACAATTCTTTTAATGATTTTCCTAAGGTGATGGTCCTTAACCCTAGAGTTTTCAGTTCTACAAACAGCACTTGAGAGCCACCTAAACAGGGTCATTGTCTGAATCAGAGTGCTCCTCAGGTCACCTAGCTGGATGTCAGAGAGTGGGGCCAAGGCTTTGTTTGGAAATGAAGCACTATTTGCTCTCCAAGGCATGGTATGACTGGGCAATGGCATTCTTTTGGCCCCCTGTGCTTTGCCTTTGAAGGAGTAGGGACTTATACCTATCTACCCCCGGGTCTTCCACTGACAGTGCCAGAAGCCAGGTATAGCAAAAAACAGACGGAGCTCTGGAACCTAGCGCGCTGGGCTTCAAGTCTTGGCTTCCACACCTAGGCAAGTTAATGAACTTCTCTGAGCTTCTCTGAACTTTTCCTATCTGCAAAATGGGAAACAATACTGCTCTTTTTGCACAGATTATTGGGAGAATGGAAATGCTCTTTTTATCGTGTCTGGCCCATAGTCAATGATAAACTATTAATATTAATATTAATGAAAGGTTATGAGTAAGTCTCATGCTTTTTAGAGCAGCTTACTCTCTCTCCCATGGGGCTTACATTAGCAGAATGAGAAAATTCAAATCTGGTCTAGTTATTCTTACAGTGCCGTGGTGGGTTCAGAATGGAGAGTCAGGTTTACTGCTTTAACTGTGCTATGTCAAACGGAAAGTAAAATGTGTCCTTGGCATGGATACTCAACCCTTCTCTCAGTTCTCTTTTGACCCATAACCTTGAACACAAAACAGCTAGATGTGTGCCCATACCTCGAAATAGTTGGTCTCTAGATAAGCCAGAAATTATCTCTATGGAGAGAAGTATCTCCATTGTTATCTTTCATAGCTTGGCACAAATTTAGCCAACTCAGCTCTCTCTCCAGGGGGTCCTGGTCCCTCAGTTGCAAATGGTTAGATGAGATAGCAATGTAAGAAAGAAATGTTAAAACTTTACACAGAAATTGAAAACCCACAAAACAGCCAAAGGTCCATCAGTATATTTTGTGGTGAGGCATTCTTGCATGCAAAGATGACAATATTGATACTGCTATTCATTGAGTCTTTGAGATATACTGAGCACTTTCACACATTACCTCCATGTTACACTGCAAGGTATGAGTTACCATTTAAAGCTTTGCAGATAAGAAAACTGAAGTTTGTAGAATTTATATAACTTGTTCTGTCTGCATAACTTGCAAAGGCAGAACCAGGATCCAAACCCAAGTCTGTCTGACTTTTGACACTGACTCTTTTTCCACTACCCAGTGCTGCCAGACTCCCTGGTAGAAGAAAGTTGCATCATGCTGGCTGGATTAACATTCTTCTAAAGGGCAGGATTAACCATATCTGGTGTGTAATTTAAGTGGTGTGAACATACACTTTGATTGTGGTGCATATTAACAGGTAGCAACAACAGAATCACCTGTAGGAGAATAATTTTCCTGATCTTTCCCAAACCCAGCTGTTAGACTCAAGCTAGGAATGCCCAACTTCAGCAGATGAGGCTACCACCAGCACCCTGGATACTCTTTTTAGGTTATAAAGAGCTCTGAATTTTTCACTCCCTACCGTGATTAACATCAGGCCGCACTTGCATTTACCTCCCCGTGTGAAGCATAGATCATTCATTTGTTCAACACATCTTTGCTGTGATCTGTTTTGTCCTGGGCCCTTGATCATACAGTGGGGAGTAAGACAGGTGGGGCCCTAGCTTTTGTGGGGCTTCTATGCTAGAGAAAATAGTGGATAACAGACAGGTGAACATAACTAAGATCATTCTGGACTCTGATAATTGCCATGAAGAAAATAAAAAGAGGCTGGGGACTAGAGAGTGACAGGGTTCAGGGCAACTTTAAATCAGAGAAGACTTCTATAAGAAGGTCATCCATGAACTTGAACATGCATTTTAAAAAAAAAAAAGTAGCCAGCCCTGTGGAGGTCAGGAGGAAGGGCTGTCTTAGCTGTCTTAGCAAAAGACATCTCAAGGGTAAGATCTTGAATTAGAATAAATGAGGCAGTAGAACCTCAAATCCAAAGACTAAAGAAACCAAGTACCCCTTAATTTTTATATTGATTATATGTTAAAATGATAATAGTTAGACTGGTTTAGATGAAATAAAATCTAAATCTAAAGAAACCAAGTTGGGTTTAATACAGGGAGAATTGTTTGAATGCCTATTATACTATTCTCGGCTGCGCTCGTACCTATCTTATTTAATCTTCCCCACAGTCTGATGAGTTAGCTTATTTTTGTCTTGATTTTATAGTTGAAGAAACTGAGACTCATAGAGGTTAAGGGCCCTAGCTCAAGGTTACAAAGCTGGTATTTAAATCCCTTATTCTACTTTGCTTCAAAAGCCCATAACTTTTTTGCTAGCACAGCATGTAGCTTTTGAGATAAAATCTTTTCTGAGAGATAAAGAGCAAGTAGAAGGAAAATATCAAAAGGATATGAGGTTGACAATGATTTCTGTGTGATATCGCAAATTTCAATTAGTGTACCTAAACCCACTCTGTCCAGTGTATAACAGTAGCCACTTGTGGCTATTGAGGACTATTGAATTTTGAGCTAATCCAGATTGAGATATACTAAAAGTATAAAATACATCCTAAATTTTAAATACAGAGTATTCCCCCAAAGGTAAAAGTGCCCCTTAATTTTTATATTGATTATGTGTTAAAATGATAATAATTAGACTGGTTTAGATGAAATCTATTAAAAATGAATTCCACTTATTTCCTTTTAATTTGTTTTAATGTGGTTTAATAGATATTTGAAAATCATATCTATGACTCACATTACATTTCCATTGAACAGCACTGGTTCAGACTAACAAACTAACAATGACACGATAGGAAAACCATAACGTTTTCCTAAATTCTTGCCTCAGGTTTCATTTCAACTCTGTACCCAAATTCATTTATTTCATAAAGCAAGAGAGAAGAGAGTTCTCTTTTCCTTCTCCCTCCCTGCTGGTGAGCAGGTAAAAAATGTGAAGCCCAGTACAGACGTTACTTTTGGACTTGATGAAATAGATTCAGTGGTTACATTCATCAGCAAGACTAATCCCTCCACTCAAGTAAATCTCAAGAGGTCTCCAAACATCCTATAACCAAAGAGTCATTTAAAAATCTGCATTTGAAGTTTTTTCCTTTGAGTCACCTCCTAGTACACTGGCTTTGCTGTTCTCGGCAAGACTAAGGCATCATGTTTTTGTGCAAAGCTTATTAAATAAGTCATCTCATGCAGTGATAAATGTTTCTCCCTCTCTGTCCCCTTGCTTAAAACAGCTTGAACAAAAGGCAGTCCCTGTTTTCAGAAGGGCTACTCCCAGAGCACATCACAAAAGGCCACCTTTCTTTTGTCCACTTGCTAAAGAGGCCCTCAAATATGTCAATGAAGTAAAAATATAATTTGTCCCTGCAGCCTCAACTTTACTGAAAGGAAGAGCAGTCAGATTCTGGTATTGTTAGAGGAACCCTCTGACCTGGGAGAGCAGAGAGCTGGATTCTGCTTTTGTCTACTCAGCTGGTTTATGTGTTACCTCACCTCCGTCCCCCTTACTTCCTGTAGTAAGTTTAGAGTTCCTGAGATAATGCTACATTGAATGCCAATGAAGAAATGTGCTGTGAAAATCAGCCACCGTTATGATTGACAAGCTGAATACAAATGTCTTCTGTAGACATTTGCCTCCTCAAAGGAGGAGTTTTCCTTTATGTAGCCAGAGCAAAACACCATGTAACATTGTCTTAGAGACATACAAATAGCATTTGTTCATTTCCACTTGAAATCTAAATTGGCGGGGAGGGGTCAAGAAGCTGATGTGAGTGGATCTTGATGTATCTACATCAACGGCAACATACATTTTTCAGTGTCTGGTAAGCCAAAAGGTCTGTGTTAGGTTCCATATGGGAAAAGAAAAACCATACTAGATTCTTGCTCCAGAGAAGCATATTTCTTAGTTGGGAGGATGAACAAAACCCTAAAACACCAGGAACAATGTAAAAGAACGTTCTCTAAGTATTACGTGGATGATACAAACAATTAAAGTTTACATTCCACAGAGCAGCATTCTGGTAAACTCTAAGGTACACTGGGAAAGACTGGGTAAAAAATGGGCATTGAGGGCTGGAAGGCTGGACTAAGGAAAATAGAGCAGACAGCCCGCCCAAGAAAAAAAAATACACAGTGGCGTGGCATTGGACGTGTGCTTGGGGTGTTTGGTGATGAGAAAAAGAACAGTCGGCCTAATTTGCTGGCTCCAGAGCTGAGTTTCGTATCAGTAACACCTGGGAAGCTTTTAAAAACTGGTAATGCTTGGCCCTGCTCTGAAACTTCCATTTAAGCAGTATAGCATCATGGTAACAGTAGGATTTTTTGTTTGCTTTTTGTTTTTGTTTTAATTCCTTAGACTATTCTAATGTGAATGCAGAGCTGAGAATCACTGAGCAAAAACCTACATTTTGATGTCATAATTATAGAAAATAAAATTCAAGGGATAATCTTCTAAAGGAGATTAAATGAACAATCAAGAAGTGTGATCTTTACTTCGTGGAACTTTTATACACACATACACTTATATGCCGTCCTTTAAATCCACAGGGAATTCCTGTGGTGATTCTTTCTCCTCAGACCACGTGGCTAAAAGCCCCTTTGGAACCAGACGCCCATTCCTATCCTCTGTGGACTCTGAGGGTGCTCTGCAGTCAGTCCTAGCCAATTAGTGTGGTACAAATGGGATCTCAGCTGCTTGTATCCAGCAGGCTTGTGTAATCATTGCAGAAGGCCCTATTACATGTCCATTAGTGCCCACGGTAGCTATTTTATAACAATCTGTAACCTTCCCTCACCTCTCCAATTTTACAAATTGGGAAATAGAGTTTAATTACTTGTCTTGAGCCAGGAGGCTCGCTCATAGTAGAGGTAAAATTAGAATTCTCAGCCACTGAATTACCCATTATCTTATTAGACGCCTAAAGTGAGTATACCTGTCTATTGTAGTGTTAGAATACTCTCTACCTAGCAGTGAATGAGTGTCACAGATCAGCCGTGAAGATGAATAGTCTACCTAAGCTGCCAACACTGAGATTACATGAGTGTCCGCAACCCATAGGCAGCCACAATAGTCCCGTAAGCCCCATCCCTGCCACCTGGGAGTCCCCAGTGGCATCTAACAGTACATCCACTCCTTACCCTGGGTAGTGAAGGCTCTGGTTGCCGTTCTGATTTCTCTTCTCTGATGCTCCTGTTCATTAAAAGGCTATCAACTTTTTGCTACAACCTTAAAAAGGAGAAGAAAGCTTAGTGCTTTTTCACAGCTACATTTTTAAAAAATCCCTTATACGTTGTTGGGAATTTCTGGGTTTATTGCAGCAGGGGTGGTGGTGATGGCGGGGAGGTGTCCTTTTGAAGGATGGTAAAAAGAAACCCAGTCCTGGTATTACAGCCTCTTTAAGACGGGATGATAGGCCAATTCGTGCCATCCCAAACTGATTGGGTTTTTTTTTTCCTCTGTCTCCAAATCCATTACTGATATAAGAACTATTTCCAAAAGCTTTAGCTATAGTAAAAAAAAAAAAAAAAAACCACCTCTAAAATAGTGGTCCTTGGCACTGATTGCATATGAGAATCAGCTTGGGAGCTTTAAAAACTACCCATAGACCCACAGAATCAAGATTCTGGGAAGGGACTTGGCCATCCATATATTTACAGTTCTCCAGGTGATTATAATGTACAGGCAGGGCCAAGAACTCCTCAGCTGTGATCAAATGTTCATTACTTATTTATATGTCTTCTTTTGCCTTGTCAGATTCACCTGACCAAGAAAACCGTCCGCACCATATTTTTGCTGTGTGGGAATTCCTCATTCTCCTCTTTGGTAAGCGTGATCTTAAGTGTAATATTAAATTTTCTACTTCTATAAGTAGATCGCATACTCAGAGTGGCCCTGAATAGTATCATGCCAAAAATTTCTCTATGTGTAATTTGGAAACCAGGTTGCCAGAAGCTTGACAATTGTGAGATTGAAAGATAAAGGTTAAGCTTCTCTGATACCTGTGTATTGGATTTCCCAATTGCTGTGTTAATATTTAATTAACCAAGACTTGCTCTCTTGTCTCAGTCATTTTAAAACTAATTAACACCATTCCTGTTCTTACTCTTATTAAAAATATAATTATAGCAGTGTCTCTAGGGATTGTTATTGGGTAAACTTTATCACAGTAAATTGGCCAAGAACTAACTAGGCCATGTGACACCCTCTTAGACCCAGGAAATCATTTGTGTTGCAGAAGCTACTAGCATCAGATTTGGCTAAGGGAGTAATGACTTTGGGTTTGGAAAAAGCCAATTCAAAGTCACCCTAAATGTGGAGGAACCTACAGACAGTGATTCTTGAATCAATAATCCAATATCCAGTAAGTCTGAGATGCCAGTCATCAGAAGATTGTATTAAGACCCAAAAGAACCAGGTTTTCATGTTAGATTTGATGGGGGAGGATGGGGAATGGAAGATGCTGTCCCATGTTTACTTTTCTGGGATGCCGAGATTGCAAGATTGGGAGAAAATAAGAAATTTTTAAATAGATTATCGGGATGAAGGATGGACAAAGACCTGCTGTTACAAGTATTGTGGAATCATAATTCTTTATCCGCTCAACTAATAATTTACGGAGGTCCTACTGTGTTTCCAGAACCCATTACAGGAGCTGAAGGTAGAGTGATGACACTCTTGCTTGTGTGGAGTTTATATTCCAGTGGGACCAAGTAAATAAATTAGTGAGAGCTATGAAGAAAAATAAAATGAGGTAAAAGGGATACACTTTAGTGAGAGCTACTTACAACAGCTTGTAAGAGTTGCCCTCTCTAAGGAGGTGGCATTTGAGCTAGCACATGAATGCCACAGAGAAAACCACCACACAGAGATCTGGGAGACAAAAATCACCACAGGCTGAGGGAATGGCAAGGGCAAAGGTCCTCAGACGGGGAAAGGTTTACCCGTTCAGGGAACCAAAAGCAACGTGGCTGGACTTTAGCAGGGAAGCTATGCGAGTCGGGGGGAGAAGGAGGAAGGGAAGCTGGGGCCAAGGGATGGAGTTAGGATTTTAAGAGCTTTCAGAAAGATTTTAGGGGGTTTTCAGCAGGGGAGGGCCATGTTTGACAGGCACGATGTTATGGAGTTCTAGGCTTCTACGTGGAGAATGCATTGCAGACTGGGAGCAGAGTGACTGCGTGAGGTTGAAGGTTGATCTGGGTACAAGCAAGACGGGAGGGTGGATCACACTGCAGCGACAGCAGTGGCACGGAAGGATTGGATTCAGGGTGGAATTCAGAGGTGCAGCCAGTATGGCTCTCAGGTTGGCAGAAGCAGGGAAAATGCTAGCAAACCTAGTCCTTCCTGAGATCATTGTTCCTGCCCTATCCTACCCTGGACCTCTGGTTTTGAACCAAAATAGAATAATATGTAGTGCTATTTGGAAACATTAGGAATTTTAATTTTAACTTATTTAAGAAGGAAAAGAAACTTCCCTTCCCACGGAGAAATTTCTGTTTACTGCTTTTTGCTTCCTAACCATAAAAATTTCATCCTGTCTCGTAAGACTGTTCTGATGGATTTTGTTGTTTTGATTACTGTGCTTTTCATAGGTGCTGGAAAGGTCACATTTGAGTTGCTAGTTTATTTCATTTCTGGTTATTTTGACTCTTTGCCTGTATTTACCAAATTCTTCCTGCTGTCAAATATTCACATAGAGCTTTCTGCAGCTGGTCATTTTCCCCCTATAAATGCTGAACCATAATTACAGGCATCTAATGAGCCTATTTGCAAGGTTTCGTTTTTAAAATGATCATATTTTAAATCATTCAATTGTCCCCGCCACCCTTTATGATAATAAATGGGTGGTCTCACTATTATCACTTTACAGATGAGGAAACTGAGACCCAAAAGAGATTAAGTCATTTAGCTGAGATCATTCAGCTGGTAAGAGCAAAGCCAGCTAGCTTTTGAATTGAGTCTGGCTCCTGTAGAGCTCTGGGTTCTTAGCCACTATGTTGTGACAGTTTTCTACTAAATGGAAGCTGCCACCTTCATTACTTGTTTCTCCTGCAAAACCCCACAATACCACTAGGAGGCGCTACACCTGGGCAGGGCTTCCAGGAGTGGGACTGATGGGGACTTGGTGTGATCCAGAGGCTGAATGGTTCAGCCCCTTTGCAGGGGGCCTTCATATTGAAATCACCTCCATCTGCCAAGGTGGGAGGATATACTCCCACCTAGGGAGCTGGCTGGGCAAAGTTGCGAACATCAGAGACTCTTGAGGAAATGTCCTTTCTTTCTGCCCATGACTCATAGTTCCTGTGTTGTACCTACTCACCTGCTGCTTCTCAAAGAGCTGAAGAAACCAATGTTACTCAGGAAATTCTAGTTGCTGCTTTCAGTCATCTGAGTCTGGCCTTTAGAAACAAACAAAAACTTACTAATTTTTTTGTTATGACATTGTTTGCCTTTAAGATATTGACAGCATCTCGCCAGAGTTTTATTAGTAGACGTGAAATACGCCTGGGGACACAATAGCTCTCTGTCTCCTCCAACTTCCACTATCCACTTCTAGAAAATTCTTCTCTCAAGTTACTTAGTTTGCCAATAATCGCCATGAAAGTAAGACACCTCCTTCCTTCCCTAATGATAGGATTATCATAACAATAATGGATTTAAAATAATTGAGGTTTATACAAAGAAATGCATTAAGTTTTTTTAATTTATATAATGAATTCTTCAGCAGTGAGCAGTGGCTGTAAGGCAGTAATTGTGATGATTTGTTTTCTAAGCTATAGGCTTAAACTTGTTGTGTATTTTAATTAAGTAGAAAGCGATGTATTTTTGCTCTAATGCCATAGGGTAATTTTCAACAGAGATAAACATGCACTCACTGGAAGTGTTGGATTTATCTAATCAAATCATCAATCTGTTCAGTCAACTGTTTGAATTTCAATAAAGATATTATTTGAAAATATTATACATGTCAGCTATTTCTTATGGTTATGTTAGCTTCTAAATTCAAAAATGCAAAGACAAAAAGAAACTATAGATATGTTTTCATTAAACTATACTCTTAATTAAGTTTGGAAGATTGCAGTGGCAATATCAATTAATGTCTGAAAGTTATTTCAAGTCTTTGAATGTTCTCTAAATAGCTCAGAATCATACAGACCTAAATTTAAAAAATTTTTTTAAACCAGTAATGTAGATTCTTTCTTTCTTGGAATGTTTTTGGCTAAGTATTTATTGGAAACTAAGGATGACTGTGTATCAAATGTAGTTATGTCCTAAACTAAGACCAAGTCCTATGAAAATCAGAGCAATGTAATGGCAGTTATGTGATCACAGGGACGACTTCATTGCCTCATTCAGAATTTGATTTGATGAGTTTTATTTTTCTTTTTAGCAGGTTTTCTGATTTTACTTTGTAAAGGACATTATTGAAGCCATAATACTGTTCATATCTGTGACTTTTAAAATTTTATTTCTTTTAGTATATTAAAATTCAGAGGTACAAAAGAGTATTCATAAAAAAAAATGCCTCCCTGTACTTCAGCCCTTATAAAAATACAAAATGCATGTGGATATGGGCCAGATGTACTTCTTAAATCTTAAATCTAATCTTAAATTCTAAGATGCTAAGATTCCATGAAGGCATAGACTGCAGACCATTGCTAGATCCCCAGTGGTAGTAGAACTGACTCTATATTGGTCCTGGAGCTTCCTTTCTACACTCAAGTATATTATTCAGTATGGCTACTTGGAAATGAATGGCAGAATGATTTATCTACCAAGTATAGAAGAAAAGATGAAAGTATATGCGATGCCCATATCTGGATATTGGTGAGCATGCAATCAGTTGTGATTTTACACATAATCCAGGTAGAGTTGTTAAGTATCAGAGTAAAAGTCGTGGGATCTATGCCTACTTGGGTCCAGTCTTCAGCAAAGACCTGACAGTGTTGGAGCTCACCTAGGCCCTAAAACTGGCAGACATACCCACTTTCGTGAGACTGGAAATGTAAGCTCCCCTCTGCATCAGAGACTCAGATTATCACAGGTCTTAGAAGTCTCTCAGCAGAAAAGGAGCCCATGGGTCAGATGTGCAGAAGGATGAGTGGAATTGAAAATCAGTCAATGGAGCTCATTACTTGCTAAGATTTGGGAGGAGAGGAAAGAATGAAAAACCTGTGGCCCAAAGGAGAATTTTAAAATCTGTTCATTTCAACCATGGTGTTACCCAATAACCTTCATTTATCACCTGTGTCATATAAGCATATGCTTCTTGGTCAAGAACACTACATTGTGAGCTACCTGAGGGTGGGATCATGACTGCTTCTCCTTTGGATATCCTACCCCAGAGCCTAACAATATCCTTTGAATTATAATATTCAATAAGTAGGTTAAACTAGTCAGAAATTAATATTTCAAATTAATGAAATTAATGGTTAGATGGTTAGAAATTGAATCCTTGTTAGCCCATCTAAGTTCAAACCAACTAAGGTCCATGTAGCCTAAAGAAATGGAAGTTTGCTAATTACCTGGATAGGTCTGGACTCTGAGATTGCAAGGGAGCAATGTGTTTTTTGTTTTGACCTATAGCATGGGTTATCCATGGTTACTGTACACTAAGGACCAGTTGGATGTGTGTCTCATCTAGGGAATCACACAGACTAGTACGTGAAGCTTAAGGATTAAGTTCACCTGCTAACTTCGCTTCTCCTCTCTCGTCCTACTTTGTCCCAAAAAGAATTTCTTTGCCTCCACTTACCGCACTAAAATCCCCCCAGTGAGCCCCCACCTCCTTTTTCTGTCTTCCTCCCACTTTATTGTCTGTTTTC